TTTGAGTAAAATTTTGGAAGGAGCATCATATTGTTTCCCTCAAATTTGTTGTTTTTGATAATTCTTTGATAAAAAAAAAACGTTACCTGATGATTGCGTTTCTTTGTTTACATTGAAAATGACTTCACAACTAAAATCCCTAGGCCATTGAAAAATGAATGCTGGTTTCCCCTAACATGTGAAAATTATTAAGGCCAGGCAGGCAGGAAAATTTTTTATTTTATTTTATTTTTTTTGTGAAAAATCAGCTGCGTTTATATACAGAGAATCTTGTTGTTAACCTGACAATAAATTCTTGTTTTACATTCTATCTTGTGTGGTATAAGCTATGTAAACCAAAGGAATGATTATTGAGCAATGTTGACACACTTTTAAGAGATTATGAGACAATTTTAAAAGGCATCATTGAAAATTGTCAAAAGAAACCAAAGCAACACTTTCTTTTTCATCTAGAAAAAAAAAATGAAAAAGAAAAAAAAGAATTGACCAGGAGGGTAAAAACTGACACGACAGGGTTAGGCGAAACCAACAATCATTTTTGCATGGCCCTAACAACAAGACCATCGTCAGAAACGTTTCTGTATTTCCGTTTCTTTTTCAACAGATTCTGAATTAAAAAAATAATGTATACAGACTTCATCCCCATTCACAGGTAACGCCTGCCTCATATAATATTATTATGCTTGAATTAAAAAAAATTTATACGGACTTCATCCCCTTTCACAGGTAACACCTGCCTCAGTCATATTACGAAACTTTTGTCTCCTTTCACATGTTACACCTGCCTCATATTACTCTTCTCAGGAGCATAGGAACCTGTTATGGATATATATATATATATATGGATACATTAATTGTCGAAATCCGGATATGGTGTACAAATTTTTGCACCTTATGTTTGCGGTATACCATCTTTTCCGCAAGTTTATTGTTTTCTGTTTGGTATTAAATTAATATAATTAAGATCCATTGTGTTACATCTGTGATCCGTTTATTTGGTAATCGCCATGGCAGTCAGCAGGGTTTAAGAACATCCGTTGTTCCACCTGCTAGTCAAATGCGTTTTGTTAAAATATACTTTTTCACTTTTTTGATCTTTTGGAAAATGTTGTTTGTGCTGTATTTAGACCCCTCTACAAAGAAATTTGTTTTGCATGCACACGTATAAAAATTGCGGTTTTTATCCAACGCAATCCTAGGTTTGAACGTTGTTTTCAATTTAGACTTGTATATATATGGATATACATACTTCATGTACATTTATGCTGCTGTTCAGATAAGTAGTGTAGTGGTTGACGTTCTAGACCCCAAGTACAATTACTTCCCATCAGGACACTTCCTGTTGTCCTGAGCCCGGTCGGGTCTTTTAGGGAGTATTAACAGCTGCGTGTGGTCCCGAGAGAGCCTGGATTTAAATTTCATCAACTGACGGCTGCCTAAAAACTTGGATAACTATATTTTGTGTAACTATAATATTTGGCAGGGTTTAAGCTAGGATTTTGAGGGCTTTAGTGATGAAAATCAACATTATTTTGGGTAACAGCAAGGGACCAAGGATGTATGTATATTACTAACTATACATCTTTGTCAGACTTTGAAGGACTAATTGCATGATTTGACTGATGTGTCACTTAAATATGAAGATTAGGATATAAGATCTGAAAATCTAGTTCAAAATTTTACTTCAATTAGTTTCAGGGGACATTCCTGATCAACAAAAGTTGGGTTCCTTTTTTTAAAACCAGGAATCACAGTATAAATGAACTTTTTTAACTTTTTTTTTTTTAGCGCCTGTCCCAAGTCAGCCTTTGTTAGTCTTGTATTATTTTTAATTTTAGTTTCTTGTGTACAATTTGGAGTTTAGTATGGCGTTCATTATCACTGAACTAGTATATATATTTGTTTAGGGGCCAGCTGAAGGACGCCTCCGTGTGCGGGAATTTCTCGCTGCATTGAAGACCTGTTGGTGACCTTCTGCTGTTGTCTGTTCTATGGTCAGGTTGTTGTCTCTTTGACACATTCCCCATTTCCATTCTCAATTTTATTGTTGAACTTTGTAAGACTATTACACTGCATAATCATTATCCTTATAAGAAGTTTAAATCGATATTTTGAATTAATTTCTATAAAGTTGGAACAAAGGATTTGTACAAATTCATTTGGAACGATTCCAATAACTAAATTGTAAATTAATCGAGAATTGATCACGTTTACTTTCGATTTTCAAATGAGATGTAAACGGGAAGTGACAAGTAGATAATAAATTCAGAATGAATCTGGATTCATCTACGGATTGGTTCGTGTTTAAAAAAAAGGCAGGAAATTATCATTTTTTTATTTCAATTTGCTTAGTAAGAACTATATTTGTCTCTCTCATTTATTTTGGCACTAACTTTATTTCTATTTTACGTTTTAGTGTCTATAAATTCATAGGAACACTTTCACGCATGCACAGTATATCGTAAAGGAAGCACCTGTTTGACTGGTATATGATGATGGAAGTTTTTAACGTTTTGAATAAAGTTCAATCGAAATTTAACGTTTTATATCAAAGATGACGAAAATACGATCATCTGACGAAACTACGACAAACGAATTGCAAGATATGATCGTTTTAGAAATACCAAAATTAAAAAGCGAATTGTCCGGGGGAAAACAATTTTGTTCAAATGACTAAACTACGACAAGCGAACTGCAAAATCTGGTCGTTGGCCTTGAGAAATATTGAAATTAAAATGCAGACTGACTAATTTTACTGGGGAAAATAATTAACCAGATTAGTGACCTATCCGATGGCGATAAGCGGATTAGCTGTAATCACAACTTTATAACACCTGTTGAAAATGTTAATTAGCTGAGGGTCATAAACTTGTCAGAAACATGTAGACAGGTAGAATTATAGTATTTTCATGTGAAAATATTTTTACACTTTCCAAATTTAAGTGACGAAATTGATTTGAAATACTTTCGTCATTTTGAAAACAGTTTCGTTAATTACGAAAGTGACAAGCGCTAGCAAAATCACTGTATTTGGTAAGAAGAACGTCTACCACTCAAAGGATTCTATTGTATTTTCAATAAAAAATTTTACGATCCGATAATAAACCATCTAAGCTTTTAAAGGATTACTTAGTTATATGACTACTATATCTCTGAACCAGGGAAAATAGAAATAGTATATGACGCCACCGTCACGGGAAACACTTGAGATAGACTAGATCAACACATCTAAACTTCACTCTCGTTACAGTGGTATCGGGTCCGTTCGCGCCCAATACACATTCGAACCCTACACGTTCGCACCCCACACGTTCGCCCCCTGGGTCCGTTCGCACCCGTTTTTTATTCAAAAACCCGATGAATTATAAGATGTTTTTTAAGATGTTTATCTCAAAATAAAGAAAAATTCTGCAATTTTTAAATTTTTTAAATGAAATATTGTTTTAAATTGATTTGATGATTAATTATTATATGTTAATTATGTATGATTACTGTTAATTATATATGGTGTTTACACAGCTAAACTTGATGTAAATTCTGCATGTAGTTATATTAGCATGTATTTAACTTGGTATGAGTAAAAACAATTAAGATTCAAAATGTTATTGTGGTTGAGTTTAAAGCGGTTTGGTATCTTAACATTAAAATAATATTCAACACAAAAAAACCTTTTTAGAAAGTCACTTTATTTTGAAACAATGAAAAAAAAAATATTGCAATACACGATTAAAAAGATATTCAACACAAAAAACGTCACTTTATTTTGCATGTTTTGAAACAATGAAAAAAACTTATTTATAGCAATACAATAACCAAAACACGATTAAAAAATTATTCAACACAAAAATCGTTTTTAGAAAGTCACTTCATTTTAAAACAATGAACAAAAAAATTATTTATAGCAATACACTAACCAAAATTCGATTGAAAAATTATTTAAGACAAAATCAATAAAAAGGGTGCGAACGTGTAGGGTGCGAACGGACCCGGGGTGCGAACGTGAAAGGGGGCGAACGTGAATGGGCGCGAACGGACGCGGATTCCGTTACAGTACAACTGAATGAATTATAGTTATCTCGTACCATTGTAAACTCGTACCAATGTCAACTCGTACCACTAAAAAAAACTCGTACCAATGCAAACTCGTACCACTGCTAACTCGTACTACGGTAAATTCATACCATTGTAAACTCGTACCAACTTATTTAAATGCATTCAAATGGTGTTTAATGATGAATATATACTTTAATTTCACTCAATACCTCTTAAGTCTGTAAAATGTATATAATTTGAAATTACAATGACCAATTTGTAGCTACCTATATTTCCGCACTTTCTGTGTTGCCATTTAGAACATACATCACACTCTATTGCTTCTTGTCGGGGTCTAACCAGAGAGTGGCACCATATACAACTGTCGTCTTCCATTTTGGTTATGAGGAACCTCACAAACATGCCCCATTTTATGAGGAAAGTGGGCTTTGAGACAACTCATGTCAGCTTATGTTTTGATGATCAGGAATTTCATTTAATAATAAACATTATACATTTAATTCCAAGCTGTTAAATTATATAACAACAATCAAAATCTAATAATATGATTAAACAAGTTGATTTTTGTCTAAGTTTTCATTAAAATCTGGTATGAAATTCAAAGATATTTTAATTTTTTGTATAAAGCTTAAAAAAAATAATCATAAAACATTCGTATTTTTGTCTAAGTTTTCATTAAAATCTAGTATAAAATTCAAGTATTTCAACTTTTTTTATTAAGTTTACCAAAAAAAAAATCATACAACATTCGTTTTGAATATATTTTTAATGGTACGAGTTTGCAGAGGTACGAGTTCTGATTGGTACGACTTCCCAGTGGTACGAGTTTACGTTGGTACGAGTTAACTTTTTTGGTACGAGTTTACGTGGTACGAGTTTACAATGGTACGAGTTAACTTGCTTCCGTGAGTTCCCAACTGAATACATTTTTTCTAGAAGTCACTTACCATGGGGCAAAGAACATTACAAATTGTTTTGTCTCCTCCACTTGGGTGGTGAAGCTTTCGGCTGTATGTGACACAGCGTCAGATCCATGATCATCATTGTCAGCAGTCACAACAGCAGAAAAAACTAGAAACAACACAGCTCCTACTTTCCACATGTTTACTTTCGAAATAGACAACAACCGGAAACGGAAGTACTGATCGCTAATGCAACGTTGATAAATCTCTAAAAACAATTATCTTGTATCCATATCGAATATATATTCTTTAACACACAAACAGTGTTATTTTGATATTATACTGTTGATAAATCTGTTATATAAAATCTGTCTAACTTTTTTTTAGCTTTGAGACTTTACTTCCGCTTCCGTCCTTTTCACATTTGCTTGAAAACAAAAGTGTGGTGTTCTTTCAAAGCTAAGGCCAATCGGCAACCTACACTTTGTTTTATTTGACATCTTATAAAAAATTGTAAACACAACTAATAATGGCATCAAAAGACGAACTTGCCTGCGTATATGCCGCTCTTATCTTGGCAGATGATGAAGTAGCAATAACGGTGAGGAACGACGTGTTTCGATAATCTACTTTCGTTTTCATTACTAGAACTACGGTTTTTGGGGTTCGTGTTGCAGTCTTTAGTGTTCTTTGTAATGTTTTGTATACTTTTGAATGTCCCTTTGGTATCTTTCGCTTCTCTCTTACAGTCGGAACAAAAAGCACCTTTATTTCTTGATAATGATGAAATTGTTTACATATCCTACCGTAGTCTATAATCGGTCATAACGTTGGTTCGTTCGGATTTTGTTATTGTACTTATCATACGGGAAAACTCCGCATTGACGTCACTACGCTAATACCAGCGTAAAAAATTAGTGCAGAACACTTTTTTTCTACACTTCTAAATAAAATGATATTTCTAAAGATATGTTTTCATTATTATTCTTAAATATTGTACAAAAATGCAGATTTTATAATGGCCATTTCAAACCTGACTTCCGATTGCCTAAAAACATTTCAGAACTTAAGAAAACCCCTCTTCCGGCCTCCATTGCTTTGTTTACATTCCATTGAGCGTCATCAATCTTAATGGCAGACCAAACAGGACAAGCAAATCGTATTTTTAAGAATTTAAAAATGGCAAGCACCTTACGTCTTACACGATTTTCCCGCGAAAATAAACCATCCAAATTGAAAGAAAAACTTTGGGAAACAAACGATAATCATGCCATATTTTTGTTCAGGAATAAAGAGTAGGTTAATAAAAAACAATATACATATATTTTTCATAAAAAAAAAATTTGATTCAATATAAAGAGATCGATATTCTGACCATATGTAAATATTCATATAAAATTCCATTGATGTCAAATTTCATGGCTAATAATGAGGTTTCCTATTGAATAAACCCCCAATTTATTGCTAACTATTTCAAAGCAATATCATACAAACAAATAATATAATTGCCTTGTACTAAAAAATCACCCAATTGACAGTAGAGCAATTTGATTGGATAAAACGATTCAAGAAGTCACGTGGTTTTGAAGCCCATTAGAATTTGAATGTAAACAAACCGGGTCAGCTGCTCCAGTACGGAACAACATCGTACATTCAGTGACTGAGAAACAATTATGAGTAACCAAGCTTGACAATACACAGTAATAAAAAAACAAAGCTAAGTCTACAGAAAAATAAAATAAAAAATGTCCTTAAGTGCACGACTTACCACCATTGCGGGATACATTGTTACCTATGTGTAATCATGAATATTTGTATTTTTATCTGAGATATTGTCAGTTGACATTTCGATGCATTGTGGTAAATTTTATGTTAAACAATTTGTTACAGACTAAGATCTTGTCGTTTAAATCTGAAGTACGTATACTTAGGGCAGTTCTGCCAACTTTTAATAATGGAAATGCGTGAGATTTGGCCAAAATCGTAAAGATCAAAGAGTAAAAACAATACATCAAAGGCAAATGCTGCCAAATAAGCATGAAAATGCGCGAGACTTGGCAGCCCTGTAATAGGGTACACAATAATATAGTTTAAGCGAATGGCAGGGTTATTTTAACGTTCAACCGAACTATTTCACATATCCTACATGTATATAGTGCATACAGGCAAAGCCCAATCACAACCGGTTAAATGAGCAGGAACTTAATTACTCTTTAATATCCCATTTGATCGTTGAAACGTTCAACCAATCTTTCATTGTCAAACATTCATGTTGTGATAAACCATCTTTTTGCATTTACCATAACAAGCTTTGGTGACCACTTAGTGATGACAGGTAATTGATTCGTATACTTCTTGCTGCAATTTGTTATAGAAACCTAAAAACTAATATGACCCTCCTTTTCTTACTTATAAATTTTGAGTTTTCATCTATTAAATATAATTATGGTTCTGTAGTCTCTTCCTGTCCATTTCTACTAACAAATTTTAAAGTTGGAACTGCACTTATGTCAACTTTTCATAAAGCAAATGCGTGAGATTTGGCTTAAATTGTAAAGATCAAAGAGAAAAAACAATAGATCAAAGGAAAATGCCACCAAATAAGTAAGTAAATGCGTGAGACTTGGCAGCCCTGGAACTGATGCAGACTTGTGGAAACCAATTATGAATATCCATCAATTGAGGTAGAATCCCAGTGATATTGTTTGCCTCAAATTACATCCGAAAAATCGGCTTTTTCCCTTAGAGAAAATTCCCAATTACTAAAAAAAAATGGCTTAAAATTCCTCCCAATAAGTTTTACATTTTTCCCAAAAGTGATGGTATTGGTATTAATGAATGTAAATTTCGTATTTATGTTATTATTTTGATATTGTGAAAGCGCTTTTGAGATGCAGGTTTCTGATCAGAATCATCACAGTGTTTGTAACACGTGGTTTTCTCAATGCATTAAGTACCATCATTGTTTCCGTCTCTTTCCCCTCCCCAAAAAGTACTTTTCAGGTTTAAAATGTCTTAATCAAAATATACGTGATAAAACTGTGCAAAAAAGACAGTTAAGTTTAGCTAAAAACGGAGATGTGTTTAAAATGAAATAAACCAACTTCCCAATTTCAATAAAAATTATGTTTTTTCCCCAAAAATAAACGGCAGAGGTAGTTTTGAAACAAGACAACAATATTACTGAATCCACATTTTTCAAAACGCAGCACAGGAAGTCAGAAGCAATTACATGTCACTAATGAGTACTCATGAAAGCTTAAGATGGTATATGCAAAAAGATGCTCCAATATCTCTTTAAAAATTTTTATTACAAGAATTGCATTATACCTCAATTGGTTTATCTCACTATATGTCAAATGGTGGATTATACCTCAATTGAGGTATAATCCATCAACTAATGGTTATCCCTGACCTGTTAAAGGAGGAAAAGAAATTATGAATTTATTGTATAAATTTTTCTTGAATGATGAATAACTTTCGGGCCTGAATTCTATGAAGGATTACTTTTCCCAACCACGACTGATGAACCAGCAGATCTAAAATCTAGGGGAAAAGATCAGAAGGGGCCTAGTGGCTCAGGCAACTAAATCTTGTATAATGATCATGTGGACAATTATCTTGCTTAAAATCAACAATTATTTGCATATAAAATTGAATATTAGAAAAAAATGTTTATAATTGAATTGGTTCCTGCAATTGAATTTTTCCAATTTATTTATTGAAGCCAATTCCCAAACAACCTACATGAGGCTCATCAGCTGCACTTGAATCAAATTATCAAGACCCAAGTTAAATGAGAAATGAAAAAAAATCCCAAAACTGAAAAGTAATCTTCACAGTAAATATAATATATCATATAATGAATAACTTAACAAGTATATTTTGAAACAAGCATAATGGGAGATTTTCATACCTTGAAGATTTGTTATGCCCCCGCTGTAGCGGAGGGGGCATTAAGTTTTAACCTTGTCCATCTGTCTGTACATACGTCCCAAAGTTGGTTTCCGTTCTCTAACTTTAGTTTGCCTCAACCAAATGTTATGAAACTTATACACAATGATTATTACCACAAAACATAGATTAAGTTTGAATATTGGGGGTGTCACTTTAACCATTCTAGAGTTATGCCCCTTTACAAATGTAAAAAATTGCTGAAGTTTCCATTCTCTAACTTAAGTTTGCCTCAACCAAATTTTATGAAACTTATACACAAAACTCAGATCAAGTACAAATTTGGGTAGCTTCCCTTTACTGTTCTTCAGTTGTGTTCCTATACTATATGATATGCAAGCGGGGGCATCTTCTGTGTCCCATGGACACATTCCCCATTTATTTTAAAATCTGACTCAGAGGTCCTAAAATTTTGTCCGACTTCTATTTTCTATGTGATTTTCATATCTGCTATGAAAATAATATTTTGTTTTTTGTTCTGGAAATTTTTTTGTTTGCTTTACCATTTGTCTGGGACAAAGTTATTTATGTTTTTGGCATAGCCAGACTGTTGCACCAAATTCAATGCTACTATCTTTCATTTTTCAGGCAGAGAAATTGAAGACTATTTTGAAGGCATCCAGTGTCAGTGTTGAACCATACTGGCCTGGTAAGACATTTTACATATTATTTGCATTTTCAGACTGTTTATTCTTGGCCTCTAATGGTTAGGAATTCCTAGTGCTGGACTTCAGTATGAAAGGTTTTGTGTTCATCTCTCGTCAAATTAGACATCTGATTGCTTGCTAAATGTACAGTTATACAACTACACAAATTATGCACAACTTTGACCCTGGTTCTACTGATGTACCACAACCAGAAAATAAACAAATTATTTTAACAAAATGAATATAACATTTTTTGTGGAGTAAAAAGGGCTAAAGAGTTGTTACCAGAAATCTGAGCCTAGTATTGTTAACTCCCGGCATGTAAGATGTCCTAAAAAATGCAGAGACTCAAGGCTTTGGTCTGACTTGTATTGAATACTACAAGTACATTCATTTGGTCAGAATAGAATAAAGCTTGAGAATAAAATCCCTGTATTTAATGTAACATAATTTTGATATTTTTGGGAAGATTGTTTTACAAGGACTCTTGTCTTTCAAAATGTTTGGAAGTAGATTGCTACAAAAAAAAAAGTCGAGATATCTGCAGTAACACATCTATATTTTTGCAGGTTTGTTTTCCAAGGCATTGGAAAGTGTAAATGTTAAAGAACTGATAACCAACATCAGTAGTGGAGTTGGAGCTGCCCCAGCTGCAGGTGCACCAGCCGCAGCTGCATCAGATGCAGCACCAGCTAAAGGAGGTAATTTGACAGTTACTAAACCCTGTAGTTAAATGAATAAAAAAAGCTATTCTTATATTCATTTTGTTGTACATGTATGACAGTCAGGGGTACTACTTGTACAAGTAATTTTTATTTACTTGAAGAAGTAAATAAAATATACTTATATAAGTTAATTTGTAGGATACTTATACAAGTGTATTTTATTTACTTGTGTAAGTAAATTATTTTTTGGCCTAGTTATGTCCCTTAGACATTCAGATTTTTTTACTTATACAAGTTAAAAAGTCATCTTATCTTCTTTTCTTGAATTCTTAGAACTTCTTTGCTCTAACAGAATTTTGAATTGTCTGTCCTTTGCAGATGTCTTTACTAATCATTTAAATGTAATTTCATGGACAATGAAAATCTCATTTGTCTGTTATCTTCAGAACACTGCTCATTTACAAGCCCCCAAGGAGCAATTTTTTTAGGCCTTGCGCAAATACTTAAGATCTTTGCACAATCAGTTTCTTTGTTGAATTAATGAGATGAATCATTGAACTCTTATCAAAAATTATGAGCTAACCTGAAAAAATTGTTAATGGCATAATTTTACATCTCAAAACTTGAGAATTTTTGTGGGATTGTAAAAAAAATTCACTTATACAAGTAAATTTTTTAGAAAATTAAGGGGAGATTATTCAAACATTATAATTATCAATATGATTAACTTATATAAGTATATTTTATTTACTTCTTCAAATAAATAAAGATTACTTGTACAAGTAGTACCCCTGACTGTATGAATACCAGTATGAAAGGTTGACTTTTAAAAAAAATATTTGGGTAGGTGGTGGAAGAATTTAAACTTAATAGATAGATTAGAATGTATTGAAAGATGTGAAAATAAACAAATTTGGTTTGTATTACTTTGTAAACAGTTTTGCCTGTATTGCAACATGAGGTTACTAGTGTTCACATCTTGATAAGCACAACTTGACAGATATCCCTTTTGAGTTATTTTGAATTTCATTAACAAAATGTTGATCCATGTTAAAATCCTGCTATCTTTTTCACCCTTGAGAATTATTGCTAAGGAGACTACATTTGACTAAAAGGTGAAAAAGTGAGTATCTATTTATCCTCTGGTTTAGATATGCTTTTCGGTAGCTGGAAAAGATCCTTACCATAGTTAAAGCCCCTTGAAAAATATATGTTAACAGTACCTCGACTGACCCTGACTTTTTGTCAGTGAAAATAGACCACTTTCGAGTTCGTTGCATTTCTGTCAAAAACTTTGGTTTTAGTGAACATCATTTGTGCGTTTAGGGGTGTCGTCACTTCCTTCCCATGTTGAGTGAGCAGTTGAAAAAATATGTCAAACGCTATATTGCACGAATTATTTGGCAAATTAAATTCTTATAATTGATAATCAGCACTGCTGTCATTAGAGAATTGTGATTAAGTATCTACGGAACAAACATTATTTCTAGTTTATCCTGCATAATGACAATCAAGGAGACGCTTGATGAACTTTAATAGTGCAGGGATACAGGCGGGCCCCTCTGTCTATAACCAAGGTCTCATTTCATTCGTGTGATATTTTTTCGTCACATAATACAATGCATGTTGTCTATAAAGATGAATGCTACCTGTTAATGACTATTTTATTTGATTTTTATAGCAGACAAGAAGAAAGAGGAAAAGAAGGTAGAATCCGAGGAGTCTGATGATGATATGGGTTTTGGTTAGTATCATATCTACAAATATATACAAAGTATAGAAGATTTAATTGTTCATAATTTGATTGATTACTTTAAACCAACTAATTTAGCAATCAATTCATTTTCTTGAGACTCACGATAAAAATTATAACACAAATATGTAGAACTTGGATCTATTATGTGAAAATTGTACAAATTGGGAAAATAAATTGCCTCAAAGTTGGCTAGAAATGGCTAAACACACTGAAAATCAATTGGTTTACAGTTTTGCTTTTTAACATTCAGTGACATATAGTTCATGTGGACAAAAACAAAATTAACTATTATAGCAATAATAACGGGTTGATCAGAATGAAAGAGGAAACTAGGACTGCCATTAAGAAGTGAGGATATCTTTGATAGAAACGAAAATTTTGCATTGCAATTGGTCATCTATGGACCCCTCAGTTGTTTCCAGGGTTCTTTAACATGTAGAGGGCATGGCACTCCTCCTACATGAGATTTAATGTCGCCACTCTTGACTAGATATGACTTATTTATCCTACACAGACAAATTGATGCTCCACTTAAGCATGGGTTTTACTGCGAGGCGGAAGAAATCCAAGGAATATGATTTAATATTTTGACCAGTGAAATATATGTTGATGTAGGATGAAGGTTTACCATAGATGAGTTTGATAAACATACAAATCTGAAATGGGGGAAAATGGCTGGTTACAATAGTCCATATTTCTTTTGTTTGCCATGCCTTCACATTCTTCATATGTCCAATCCACAAATTAAGATTAAGACTCATCTCAACCATGAATGAGTTAAATGATCAGACTAAGTAAGCTTGCGCTCTTGAAAACTAATATTATTATTATTAATATGAAATGGGAGACAATTTTTCGTTTTTCCGGGGGGACTTGTGAAAATATTCCATTGTATTTGTTGTTGCTGGAAAAGCACAGAAAAAATCTGAACATTTTTGTGTATTCATACAGTTTTTCCCTTGATGTATGTAGATTGTTTAAGTTGTTGAAATCTGGCTAAAAAATTTGCTTCCAATATTTAATTTTAATCAACACTATTATAAGGTTTATTTAACACAACAGTAATCAAAATGTATTTTCTCTTTGTAGGTTTGTTTGACTAAACAAAGAAAAGACTCAAAACACCAGACTTTTAATAAATAAGAAAAAACTTCACAAAGCTGTTATGTTAAACTCCTAATTGAAAGTACAAATGTAGTTTCTTCTGCTGCACCATACAGCCTTCGACAATGAGCAAAACCTATACCCCATAGTAAGCTATAAAAATTGTAATGAGAAAATCAACAGCATGATTTATCGACAAAATGACCACCCCTGAATTACAGGCTCCTGGCTTAGGACATGCACATACAGAATATAGTGGGGTTTGTTTCAGAGATTCATGTGACGTCCTTTTTCACTGAACTAGTACACAGTTTTGTTTAGGAGGCCAGCTGAAGCCCCCCTCTGGGTGCGGGATTTTCTCGTTGTGTTGAAGACCCATTGGTGGCCTTGGGCTGTTTTCTGCTCTTTGGTCGAGTTGTTGTCTCTTTGACACATTCCCCATTTCAATTCTCAATTTTATTTGACATGTGTGAGCACCCAATCCTTCACCTAAGCTGGGACATTGGTCTTAAAGCACAGCATAAGAACAAACTATGAGAATAACCTTGAAACTAATTCTCAGAGCATTATCTTAAATGAAGATCAAATTTAAAACAAGTTCATATACTTGAGCACTCTGTTTCCTGTTCGTGCAATTACATAAATAGCAGTTTATGTACACAGCTGTGGGTTGTGATGATCAGATACTTGTTGGTCTCTACACAGCTGTTGAATAACAACGTCTCATTGCTTTATATACCGGTAGTACATAAGAAATACACATTATAAGATGCATTCATTGCTAGACATCACAGGCGTTCCTGCAAAAATTGGATGTTGCAAGAGAAAATGTCTACACCATAAAGGAAAAGTGATTGTTGTTTGACATCTATAGTGCATGTGTTGCAGATTCCCAAAATAGGGATATGCTTAGTAGCTCAAAGTACAACCATTTCAATTTTTGTCCCCCACGCAATAGACATAGAAATATTGGTCTGTCTGGTTTTGTTGGTGCTCTCACCTGTACAGTTCTAGCCAGATTTTTATGAAACTTGTAATAGGTTTATATCAGCAATGTCTTGGACTAGTTTGAAAATCAGTGCCGATCAATTATTTTTAAGAGTTATGCCCCTTGGAAATATTGATTATATGGAAAATTGCAATATTAGTGCTCTTACATGTATGTGTACAATTCTTGCCAGATTTTTTATGGAACTGATATCATAGGTTTATATCAGCAATGTCTTGGACGAGTTCAAAATCAGTGCCGATCAATTATTAGTCCCCTTCCGTCGAAGGGGACTTTAGGTTTGCACTCCATCTGTCCATCCGTCAGTCCGGCAAATCAGTTTTCCACAATATTTTTCTTCATCCTTGAAGATAATGATTTGATATTTGGTGTATTGTTTTATCATGACAAGTTGCAGATCAACTTCGAATTTTGTGCAGTTATGGTCCTTGGACTTAAAAAAAATTCACCCTAATAATCATTTTTCCGCACTTTTTTATGCCCCTGCCGTAGTGGAGGGAGTATTAAGTTTTACCCTTGTCAATCCGTATCCCAAAATTGGTTTCTGTTCTCTAACTTTAGTTTGCCTTAACCAAATGTTATGAAACTTATACACAATGCTTATCACATAACAAAGATCAAGTTTGAAAATTGGTGGTGTCACTTTAACCGTTCTAGAGTTATGCCCCTTTACAAATGAAAAAAATTGCTGAATTTTTCGTTTCTGTTATACACAATGCTTAATGCCACAAAACTCAAATCCGGTACGAATGTGGGTAGCGTAACTTGTACTGTTCTTGATTTATGTTCCTTTATAACGTTTTATGCAAGCAGGGGCATCATTTGTGTCCCATGGACACATTCCCCATTTATTTCCTCATGCTTGAAGTCTTCAAGTTGAAGATATAGATTTGATAATTGGTATATAGTTTTATCATGACAAGTTGCAGATCAAGTTCGAATTTTGTTCTGGTCTGATGATTTTGTGCAGAGTTATGGTCCTTGGACATAGAACATTCACTTAAATAATCAGTTTTCCACACTTTATACGACCGCAAAAAAAATTTGCGGTCGTATATTGGTATGATGGCGTCGTCGTCAGAAGGCACATTGGTTTTCGCACATTAACTTAAATTTGAGTGAATGGATCTCTATGAAATTTTACCATAAGGTTCAATACCATAAAAGGAAGGTGGGGATTGATTTTGGGGGTTATGGTACCAACAGTTAAGGAATTAGGGGCCAAAAATCAGCATTTTTGTAACTACCAGACATAACTTGTGTGTTAGTGTATGGATCTCTCTGACATTGTACCACAAGGTTCCATATCACAAAGGGAATGCTGGGATTGATTTTGGGGGTAATTGTCTCCAAATTTAAGGAATTAGGGGGAAAAAATAAGCATTTTTCTAGTTTCCAGACAATAACTTGTGTTCAAGTGTATGCATCTCTCTGAAATTGTACTGCAAGGTACCATACCACAAAGGGAAGGCTGGGATTGATTTTTAGGGTAAATGCCTCAAAATTTTAGGAATTAGGGACCATAAAGGGGAAAAAAACAAGCATTTTTCTAGTTTCATGACAATAACTTGTGTGTAAGTGTATGGATCTTTCTGAAATTGTACTACAAGGTTCCATATCACAAAGGGAAAGCTGGAATTGAGTTTGGGGGTAATTGCCCAAAACGTTTAGGAATAAGGGGCCAAAAATAAGCATTTTTCTAGTTTCCAGACAATAACTTGTGTTCAAGTGTATGGATCTCTCTGAAATTGTACTGCAAGGTACCATACCACAAAGGGAAGGCTGGGATTGATTTTTAGGGTAAATGCCTCAAAATTTTAGGAATTAGGGACCATAAAGGGGAAAAAAAACAAGCATTTTTCTAGTTTCAGGACAATAACTTGTGTGTAAGTGTATGGATCTTTCTGAAATTGTACTACAAGGTTCCATATCACAAAGGGAAAGCTGGGTTTGAGTTTGGGGGTAATTGCCCTGAACGTTTAGGAAGTTGGGGCCAAAAAAGGGCATTAAAACAAGCATTTTTCTAGTTTCCGGACAATAACTTGTGTTCAAGTGTATGGATCTCTCTGAAATTGTACTGCAAGGTACCATACCACAAAGGGAAGGCTGGGAATGGAGTTTGGGGGTGATGAATCATAAGGGGGTTTAAAAAATTTGGGGGGGTATTTTTTTCGTTTTTTTCTTTAAAATTTTCAATTTTAAATTGGTTATTTCTGATTTATATATAAAAGCAAATAATAGTGATATGGTTTGAATAGGTAAATTACATTTTTTTAAGTTCTTAGACCACATTCATTCTGTGTCAGAAACCTATGCTGTGTCAAATATTTAATTACAATCCAAATTCAGTGCTGTATCAAGCTTGAATGTTGTGTCCATACTTGCCCCAACTGTTCAGGTGTTCGACCTCTGCGGTCGTATCAAGCTGCGCCCCAGCGGAGCATTTTATTTACATCATGCTTGAAGATATTGACTTGATATTTGTTATAAAGTTAACACCATGACAAATTATAGAACAAGTTAGCAATTTGTTACAGTACAATGAATTTTTAACCGGTAGGGGACTATGTATTGCCATGCAATACTCTCAGAATGCTTGTTTTTAAAAGAGTTATGCCCCTTGGAAATATTGATTATATGGAAAATTTCAATATTAGCGCTCTCTTGTCGGAGTTTTATGAAACTTATATCATAGGTTTATATCAGCAATGTCTTTGACGAGTTCGAGAATAATTAAGTGCCGATCGATTATTCTTGAAAGAGTTGTGCCCTAAAGAAATATTAATTATATGGAAAATTGCCTTATGAGCGCTCTAATGGGTACAATTCTTGCCAGATTTATTTTTAAAAGAGTTATGTCCCTTGGAAATATTGATCATATGGAAAACTGTATTGTTAGCACTCTCATGATGAAATTTATATTGTAGGTTTATATCATCAATGTCTCAATCAATTTGAAAATCAGTGTCGATCAATTATTTCTGAAAGAGTTGTGTCCCTTGGAAATATTGACTATATGGAAATTGCATTGTTAGTGAGCTCTCATGTATCATCTCTATATCAGCAATGTCTTTGAAACTTTCGAAAATTGCTCTGAAGCCTTCATTTCTCTAAGATATTTATAAGCGCTGATCAAATATTTTTAACTAGTTATTCCCCTTGGAAAAGGTATAACGGAAATTGCACTGCATTTGCTCTAAAGCCTTCATTTCTCTAAGATATATTTATAAATTGTTTTAAAGAACAAAAAAAAGAGTGTTTTTTTTTTAGTAATTGCCCTTGTACCTTGGATAGATAAAATATATGTGCAACGCGGGTGACATTGGAACTCTGTTCTTTGATCATTTTTATGCCCCCGATATAGCGGAGGGGGCATTAAGATTTACCTTGTCGGTCTGTACATCCCCAAAATTGGTTTCCATTCTCTTAACTTTAGTTTGACTCAACTAAATGCTATGAAACTTATACGCAATGCTTATTACCATAAAACACAGATCAAGTTTGAATTGGTGGCGTCACTTTTCACTTTTACCGTTCTAGAGTTATAAACATTTACAAATGGAAAAATGATGAATTTTTCATTTCTGGTGTCCAACTTAAGTTTGCCTCAACCAAATGTTATGAAACTTGTACACTGCTTATTACCATAAAACTCAGAATAAGTACGAATTTGGGTAGCATCACTTTTAACGTTCTTAGTTACCCCCCTTTATAACGTAACATTATATGCAAGCAGGGGTATCATCTGTGTTCCATGGACACATTCCCCATTTATTTGTTTTGTATGCGAGAGAGACGGATTACTATCCGGCGGCGGTGGTGTTGACTATTTGTATAAAGCTTTATATTTCAGAAGGTAAAAGACCTGGATGCTTCTTTATGCAGATACCTTATGTTACGAAGTTTCCTTCTGTCATACACGTTTGTCTATTGTCCTTGACCTCATTTTCATTGTTCAGCAACCGCTTGAAAAAAAACTATAGATTTTTTATACGACCGCAAAAAATTTGCGTTCGTATATAATTGCTGTCATGTCGTCGTTGTCT